ATTAAGAAGTGGGGCCTTCAGGCAGTGATTAGATAAGATTAGTATTAAGAGGTGGAGCCTTTATGAGGCAATTAAATGGAGTTAGTAACTGTATAAAAGAGCTGCAGGCATCCAGCCTTTTGTCCTTTTACTCTTCTACCATGTGAGGACATAGCCACAAAGACATCATCTTGGAACCATGGAGCAGTCCACACCAGGCTCCAACCTTGCTGGCAGCTTGATCTTGGACGTTCCAGCATCCAGACCTGCAAGAAATAAATGTCCACGGTTCGTAAATATTGTGTGTGATATTTTGTTATAGCAGCAGAAACAGACTAAGACAGTCTAGCAAAAATTTGTGTACCTCCTCCATAGATTAGAATTGTTACTGATAGGGGCCAGCAGGGGGCGCGGTGGCTAAGGGCACTGGACTCCCACATGGCTGACCATAGTTCTAATCCTGGACCTGGCAGCTTGCTTTCTTATTTTCTCTCTCTCTCTCTCTCTCACTCTGTCCCTCTCTGGTCAAATTAAAATAAATAAATAAGTAAATAAATAAAATTAAATTTAAAAAATTGTTGCTGATTGGGGCCAGCAGGTGGTGTGGTGGTTAAGGTGCTGGACTCCCACATGGTCGACCACGGTTCAAGTCATGGACCTGGCGGCTTGTGCTCTCTCTCTCTATGTCTCTCTTCCTCTCTCTCCTTCTCTCATCAAATTAGAAAATAATAAATAAAATTAAATAAATATTTATTTTTAAAAAATTGTTGGTGATTAAGAGGTTTCCTAGTTAAAGACTGCATTTTCCAGCCCTCTTTGCACCTGATGGATTCATGTGACTGAGTTCAGGCTGGTGCATGTGGACTAAAATGATGTACACCTCTTTTCCAAACTGTCTATGGTCACAGAGCATTTCCACCTAATCTATCATGGACTTATACTTTTGTAAAGTATAATAAAAATAAATTACCAGAAAAATGAAGTGTAAAAGGTAATGCCAAATACTAATTCATATTTTATTGTTAGATTGAACAATTACTCTGTCGGTTGTGATTGCTATAAGGAGTTTACAGGGCCACCCCATGCCTGGCGGTTGTGTGAACTGAATCGCATGTGACGGTGTGGACTTGTTCAAGCCCTGGACCCAGCAGCTTGGAAAACCTGCTGGGTGTGTGGACATTGGTACCTAAAATTTTAAAGGCAGGGAGAAATGGAGAAAAAGGGATTGTGATGTGATCATCCCCATAGGAGTGCTTTCTCAATTTCCTTCCCTCTCTTTGTCTCTTTCTGCTCAGTGCATGTGCCCTCTGGCAAATTAAAAATAAAAGAAGAGTTCAAACACTTATTCTCAATTTCTATAGTGCAGTGAGATAGAGAACTGATAAGTAGCTTGCAGACCAGAAGTGGTCAAATGGACAACCTTCAAGTGCACACCCCATCCAGGCTGGGCCCGTAAAAGTCTCCACATTCTTTTTCTTCTTGTCTACTGTCTTAGGCTCAGAGTGACAGGGTGACTTTTTTCTTTCTTTCTTTTTTTTTTTTAAACTTTGCCAGTGGGCACATACACTTGCCAGAGAGGGATGAAGAAGGCACCTACCAAATGAGATGTGGTCTCACCGCAATCCCTTATCCTCATTTCACCATTCTATCAGGATTTTAGGTATACACACACGCTTGCCCAGTATGCTTTCGAGGCCACTAGGTCAGGATTCCAAGTGCATGGTAAGGCCATGTGGGATCCAGCTCCCTTCATCATTGGGCCAAGGGACCGGTACAACTTTTAAAGTCAATGGCTGAAGATGGCCAAGTTTCATCAGTCTGAGTCTCCAGGTGACTGCTTGGAGGGAACTCTCCACCATTGGTTTAAATGTGCCCCCCCCCCCAAATTCACATGTTGACATTTGGTTGCTATTATAATAATACTAAGAACAGAAACTTTATTTGACTGTGGAAGTGAGAGGCGGGGCCATTAGGAGGTAATTAGGGTGGGTTTGCAATGATTGAATGCTGGTGATTCTATAAGGAAAGTGAACAGAGCTTGTACTGACTTAACTCTCTTGCTGTGAGATGGCCTGTGCCATCTTGGGACTTTGTAGAGAGCCCCCACCAGCAAGAAGGCTCTCACCAGATGTGTCCCCTCAACCGTGGACCTCAATAACCATGATCTGAATACACCTTTATTCTTTGTAAATTATATAGTCGGTGGTATTCAGTTATAGCAAGAGTAGAGTGGACTAAAAGTCTTCCTCACCCCATCCTGTGACTAAAATTTATGTGTAAGAAAAATAATCATCATTTGTCTTAAGCCACTCAGCATCCAGGATTTATTCACTACATTATTATTAACTTACCTAAAAACAAAATACAGAGAAAAATATGACCCTTAAGTATAAGAGCTTTTATTATAAATGATTTTAAAATCAGCTATGCTACAATAAGGATTTCCATACATTAAAAAAAAATCATAAGATAGGGCCAGCAGGTGGTGCGGTGGTTAAGGCGCTGAAATTCCCATATGGCTGACTGCGGTTCAAGTCCCGGACCTGGCAGCTTGCTTTCTCACTCTCCCTCTTTGTCAAACTCATGTGAAAATAATAATAAATTAATTAATTCATTTTTTTTTAAATCACAAGATAGTAAATGAAAACAAGTCACAAACTGGGAAAAGATATTTGTAATACACATAACAAACAAACATCGGGCTGGCTATGGCCTGGTGGTTAAAACAGCTGGATCCCATATGGATCCTGGCTCAGTGGCTGGAAAAACATTCCAGGTGTGTGGGCATACAAGCCTGCCCAAAATCATGAAGGGAGAGAGAGATGGAGGAGAAGGAATTGCAGTGTGACCAATCCGCACAGGGAATGTTTCCTCCTCTTCCTTTCTCTCTCTCTAAAGAGCATGCATGCCCTTTGGCAAACAAGCATCAGTTTAGTATGCAAGATATATAAGTTGCTCCTACATATCAGTGTGAACATGTCAAACAATTGAAAAATGGGCAAAATATATAAATAGGCACTGAACAGTAAAAGAAATATGAATAGAAAATTAGAATTTGAAATGATCACAACCACATTAATAATCAAAGAAAGATAAGACTGCAATTATATAGCAAGTTTCTGAAATCATATGGCTTAGTAAGAACACTCAGACGATGCTAGTGAAGTAGCAGTCAGTTCACTTCTCTAGAAAACAATTTGGAACGATGTAAAGTTGAACATCCAACAAGGATGATAATGGTACACATATATTTCATTCCTAGGTGTACATATTCTGAACTCCTGCAACATATAATTAGAGTTGCCCTATTTAGCAACCAAAAACATAAGATGACTAGTTAAATTATATTTCAGGTAGACAATAATTTATAAAAAAAATTGCTAGAGGGCATGTGTACTTGCCAAAGAGAGAGTGAGAAAGCACCCTCTATGGGGGATGACTATGCTGCAATCCCTTCTCTTCCATTTCTCCTTTCATGGTTAATTTTTGGGGCATGCACATACACGTGCCTGGTGTTTTTTTCAAGTTGCCAAGTCTGGGACTTGCACCATACACTTTGGCCATGTGGGATCCAGCTGCTTAACCACCATGCCGCTGGCTGCCTAACAATGAATAATGTTTTAGTTTAAAATTCAGATTCAAGTGGACCTCCTGTATTATATCTGACAATCCTACAAATAGATGACATACACAAAAGTGTCCAAAGCAGCACTGTTTATAATAGCAGAATCAGGAATCCACTTAAATTTCTATCAAGGAAATAATGGGAAAATTGTATATTCACACAGCGAACTGTTAGCAGTAAAAGTAAGTGAACTACAGTGATGAGTAGTAACACAAAAGAATCTTAGGAACATTAAGCTTAAAATGCAGTTCGAAAAATAGATATTATAAATTGCAATACCATTTTCATAAAACTAAAAACCAACTGCAACTAATAAATACACTGTTCTGACAATATGTGATAAAATATATGCAAGAGAACGAGAAACAGAATTCAAGATATTGTTACTGGGGTGGGGTAAAGGCAGGAGAATGGGTTAAAGGCAGAATACATAGATCGATGAGAAGGTTTTGGTTAATGTTTTGGTTTTGATGCAGGTATAAATTACATGGGTGTTAACTTAACTGCCATGCTTCATACTCCCACAACACAAACTTTTTCTGCTTTGTGGCTTCCAGGAGACCGTCAGCTTCCAGTGTAAATTTAAGGACATCAGTGATCAGGAAAACCAAGTTGATCCCCCATCTACAAACAGAAGGCTGGATATTTTTGGGCTAGCTGAGGTTGGTAGTAGGTAAGGCGGCTAGATTGCACAGGGTCCACTGCACCAGCCTGAGTCTTCCAACACTCGCAGCTAGGAAAACGGTGGGAGTATGTGCCTGTCCAAAAATCCCCAGAGAATAGAGGACTTTGGCATGGCCATTTCCCCTGAGGAATGCTTTCTCACTTTCTCTCTCTGAGGGCAGCTGTAGGGCTATTGTCTTTGGTGACCACACGTGCTATATAGCAAATTTTAAAAATGGAAAGAAAAAAATCCAATTTCTTATTATATCAGGGTTTGGAGTACTTCTCCTGAAGAATAATAGCATGACTTGCATTCAGAGAAAGTCTAAGGTACAAACCGCTATTTCATAGCTAGCTCCTGGGAGAAGCTTAAAGGTGAAGTGTACACAGCTAATTCAGCTAAAATAGTAGATCAAATAGTACTTTCTGCTCTGTACTGTACAAGAGTGTAGCACATCTGTACCATGTCGTTGTGTGTGCACGTGAGTTGCCGAAGGGGTTTGTTTACAAGCTCCTTTTCTCAGAGTGGCTGCAGAGGACAACTGGGCCACGGTGAGAGCGCCATAGTGTGAGTATAGACTATAGCGGCGCTCAGGGGCCAGAACAAATGCAGTCTATTTCCTAGCAAGCCCCTCTTCCTTAGATCCTCTTTCCTCGTTAGGGTAGGTCTGGGTTGGGACTGATCCTCCCTAGCTCAAAGATTGACTTGTTTTTCTCTAGGATTACTGCAAAGGACAGTGATGGAAGTCTAAAGCTAATCTAATACATTAGCTAGTGGAAAACGAAGATCCAGTCCTTGAGCTGACGGGACTTTTGAAATGTAAACTTTTTCGATGAAATTAAACAGGTAGACTTCAGTACTTTAAATCAAGGAGAGTTTGGCTGATTAAACAAAAAGTACACGCCTACGCACGCGCAGTAAGCGCCAATAGAACCGCAGGGGCCGGGTAAAGGATGGGGAGGCTAAAGGTGCGGAAATACGTCACGGAGCGCGTGTGCGTCACGTCGTAGGGGGCGGGGCATCCGGGCTTGGTTTGCTCAGTGACCACCGCAACCGGGTCTGCGCGTGCTGTGCCAACGTGGGAGGCATGGGGACCCCCGCGGGCCTGCAGGCCGACTGCGAGACGCTGCTCAGCCGCTTCCAGGAGACCGACAGCGTACGCTTTGAGGACTTCACGGAGCTCTGGAGGAACATGAAGTTCGGGACCATCTTCTGGTGGGTGTTTCTCGTCCACTGCCCGCTTCTCACCCTTTCCATGGGCGGGGGAGAAATCTGCTTCCTTTCTAAATCTGTGTTTATAGTTTAACTTCACGCATAGGGCCACTGTGTTTTTTTAGAGAGTTTTTTTTTTTTTTTATTGCTATAGGGCGTAGGACAGCGCTTAAAAGCAGATGCAATTATTCTGGTTTCATAGATGAGGAAATTAAGGCGTAAAGAGGTTAAGTAATTTCCCCATGGTTATACAGTTATCAGCTGGTAGAGCAGATATCAGAACCTATATGTCTACGTGTTTCCACAATCCATATTCTTTCATGGTACCCCCTTCTTGAAGGGGGGAAAAGCATTTTAGGGAAATTTTGCTAGAGTTATCCCAATTTTTAGTTAACAGGGAAAACTTAAAATGTGAAATGAAGTAAGAACCACTACTGGAGTGGTGGATTTTCTTTTAAAAAATGCTTTGGTTATCAATACTATAGTAGGTATTTTGTAGTTTTTAGTATATTATTTGAAGAGCCAAGGTATCTTGACCTTTTTCTATGTCTAATCAGATATAATAGAGCCTCAGTTCACTGGTTGTAGGGCTATTTTCTTTATTTTTTTATGCTGTTGTTTTTAGTTTGTTTTTGCTATAGGGCACGTGCAGTCGCTGTAGAGACAGAAACCCAGAGAGGAAAAGTGAGAGATCTCCTACCATGGGAGGGTGGGGGACACTCCGCAGTCCCTTATCCTTCATTCTTCCCTTGGGATTTTGGATGAGCTCCCACGTTCACCCAGCATGATTCTCAAGCTGCCTGGCCTTGAACCGTGGACTTAGCTATGTGGGTTCTAGCTGCCTTAACCGCCACACAACCTACTGGCCCTTTGCTTTGTTTTTAAATGGAAAGTTCTACGCATCCACATCTGTGTAGTCTAGTAATCATTTCATTAATACTCTTTGAGACATTATTTTAGCTATGGTTGTATTAAAAAAGTGACATTTTTAGTCTACCAATTTCAAGTCTTACATAGAAAACCGTCTGTAACTTACATGAATTGCACCTTCATTGATTTATCCGAAGTTGGAAGAAGGATGTTGATGTTGACTTTTCTATGACCTTGCTGTTTTAAAATTTTTTGGTTAACTTGCAAGGCACAGCAGAACAGTATCAGTTTATTAGTTATGCTAATTATGTTCATAGGAAATGTATTTCCTGTGTCATTATGTTGATTGGCTGGTTGGTTGCCAAGAGAGCCTTATTGCTCTATTGGGTATGTGGACAAAATTTTTGGTGGATGGACTCAGCTCTTCTTTCCTGTTCCTCCTTTCTTTTCATGAGTTTTGCAATGCTCTGGAGAATTGGGAGGGTGGGTTAGAATATGGTTTGACTATGTCCCCCAGAAATTCATGGATTGGGTGTTGATTATATTGATTGTATGGTAAAGGTGTGGAGTGAAAACTTAATTCCTTCATGGTGTTGCAGGGTGAGGCCTAGTGAGCCATAGTTGGCTTACAGTGGTGATTGCATTGTGGAGGAGACAAGGCATGAATAGATCAATGATATCTGGGAAGACTGATGTCTAGCTCTCAAGAGAAAGGATTAGTTTGTTGTAAGATTAGCCAGGAATTCTCTACAGGCACCTGCCATCCTCTGTGTTTCCATTGGCCATGTTGTATATAGTTCTAGAACTTTAGACTTTCCATCTCACCAGAACATTGAGTTTGTAAATAAACAGCATCATCTTTTTTTGTCTTTTTAATTGCCAGAGAACATGGGCATTTGTCACAGAGAGAGATAGGGGTGATGGCCTGGGAAGTACTCCTCAGTGGAGAGTGGTAATGCTGTAATCCCTTCTCTACTTTTGCATCCTCTCAGGATTTGGGAAAGTCACCAGGAGTGCTTTTCAAACGGCCAGGTCCATGATTTGAATCGCAATTGACTGTGGGATCTGGCTTCCTTTAACCACTAGGCCATCCGGCCAGCCCTAAACTTACAGCTTTACAAAATCATCCAGGCTTGGGTATTTCTACCAGCAGGGCAGGAACAGGAGTAAGACAGTGGGTTTACTGTTTTTTAAGATTCCTACCTAGATTTTGCAAGGACAGAGGAAGTTTGATGCAAATTTCTGGGGAGGGGTGGGGAATATCCATTATATGTTAAAATGCTCATTGTTTTTGATTCCGAAACATAACTGTGGTGATTTTAATATTATGCTTCAAATATTTAAAAAGGAATAATTTGGAACCCTTTCCTCTTTGTTCTCTAATTTGACTAGTAAAGTGGGCGCTTTAGAGAGTTGTATGATGTTTCCCTAGTAGTTTGTGCTTGAAACATCAATAGACTGGGTAAAGAATCCCCTTCTGATTATTAGCAACTGCTACCTAAATGAGTATATACCTCTTTTGGCTTTTGTTTGTTACTTATTCATGTAATGAGGCATAATATTTCTCTTTGTTTTCTAGTGGCAAAATGAGAAATTTAGAAAAGAACACGTTTACAAAAGAAGCTTTAGCTTTAGCTTGGCGATACTTTTTACCTCCATATACTTTCCAGATCAGAGTTGGTGCTTTATATCTGCTGTATGGGTTATATAACACCCAGCTGTGTCAACCAAAGCAAAAGGTAATACTTGGTGAGATTTTTTTTCCTCCCCTAGCAGAAATGTGAACCAGATACCCTATTTTTACAATAAGCTGACGTAACGTGAAATCCCACTCTTTTAGAATTATAATACACTTGTGAAAAATATTTACAGTTAGTATATATTTTTTTACTCTCCTTGGTTGCAGATCAGAATTGCCCTGAAGGATTGGGATGAAGTTTTAAAATTTCAGCGAGATTTAATAAATGCACAACATTTTGACGCAGCTTACATATTTAGAAAGCTCCGACAAGACAGAGCATTTCATTTTACAGCAATGCCCAAATTGGTATGTTGACTAAATGATTTGTTTCCTTTTTTAAAAAGAGCAAATTATACTTCGTTGTTCATAAAACACCTCAAACTCCAGAAAATGGGAAGAATATTCATTTTTAAGACATGTTACATTATTTAAAAAAATATTTTTAATTGTTTGTTTTTATTTATTACTATTATTATTTTTTAACTTGCTATAATTATTATAGAGAGAGAGGGCAAGTGAGCCACCAGGTCCAGACTCACTGTGGTCAGCCAGGTGGGAGTCCAGCACCTTAACCACTGTGCCACCTGCTGGCTGCCAAGACTGGCTACATTCTTTTTTTTTTTTTTAAGAGAGATTTTTGCTATAGGGCATGTGTGCTCTCTGGAGACAGAAAGCTAGAAATCATCCCCCTGGGATGGCCACGCAACAGTCCTTTCTCCTTCATTCTCTTCTTGGGATTTTGGGCATGCATACACATGCACCCAGTGTGAATTTCAAGCCATGGGGTCTGGGACTCCAACTATGGTCAGGCATGCAGGAGTTCAGCCATGTAACAATTTCCCATCTGCTGGTCCTATTCTTAATATAGGAGGATGAAATGTTTGCTGATTGCTTCTTTTTTCTGCAAACAAAAATTTAACCTCCTCCTTTAAATGCAGCATGCTGGGACCAGCAGATGACATAATGGCTGCGTTGCTGGGCTCCCATATAGTTGACTGTGGTTCGAGTCCCAGACCTGGTGGCTTAAAACTCATGTCAAGCGCGTGTATGTACATGCCCAAGATCCCGGGAGGAGGATGAAAGAGAAGGAATTGCAGAGTGACAGTTCCTCTTGGGGGGGTTGGGGGAGTGGTTTCTGGTTTTCTGTCTCTTTGTTTCTCTGGTGAACGCATGCGCCATATAGGGGAAAAAAATTTAAAAACTCTAAAAAAAAATGCAGTGTGTTTTTGGATGCCACATGTTAAGCAAATTCTTACGAGAACAAGTTAGATCTGGCATCTGTAGTTCTTTTTTTTTTTGAGACATTTGCTGTAAGACGTGTGTGCTCACTGGAGAGACAGAGACAGACAGAAAGTGAGAAATCACACCCAAGGGGGGATGGCTATGTCGCAATACCTTCTTCTCCATTCTCCTCCCAGGATTTTGAGCACATGCATATGTACCCAGTGTGTTTTAAGCTGCCTGGTTCAGGACTTGAACCACAGTTGACTATGTAGGAGTTTAGCAGTATTAACTATTATAGCATCTGCTAATCCTGATCATGGCCTTTTTAAAATTTCATCATCAGAAGGAAGAGGACAGAGGAATTTTGATATATCATTGGGTGAAAAGTTGAAACTTCTAATGTGTTATTTCATCAGTCATGTGACATTGAGATCCTAAATTGAGGAGCACTAGTTTTAGTTCTGCTATTGACTGGCAAATTATGTAGCTTTTCTGAATCTCATCTGAATTGTAAGCTTGTTGTATGGCCTGTAAAGAGACACTTCAGAAGTATAATAGTCTATGGATAACTGATATTTGACAAATACAGTTACAAAAAAGCAGAGCTGCCTCTGTTTCCTCCATGTTTACTCTTAGACAATTTTGTACTGCAGGCTTATTTTACAGTACTTACAAAGCATTCTTTAAAAGATATCCATTTTCAAAGACACTTATTATCATACAGCTGTCATACAGAATGAAGAAGAAAATTCAACGAGCTGAAGTTACAGAAGAATTTAAGGACCCAAATGATCGTGTAATGAAACTTATCACTTCTGACGTATTAGAGGTAAACTTGCTTTTATGCTCTTGAAAGTTTTTAAAAATTGTTCTATTGCCAACTACTTGTGAATTTATACTTTAATGTACTGGATACTGACTATTTTTCTAATGGTTTTAACCAATCCTAGGATGCTATTTCTCTAAGGTAGCAGAAATAAAATACTCTAAACATACTAAGATTTATAAGTGAATCTCGTAGCACAGTAGGAAACAGAAAGATGTTGAAGACTGTTCATGGACTCAGAATATGTGGATTCAACTTCTGAATCCATTATTTGTATTTGATTTTAGATAGGTCATAAAATGAGATTTTAAGGTGACTTATTTTTTTTTTTTTAACAATATTCTCTTATTTCATAAGTGCCTTTTATAATACTTATTTTAAAATTCCCCACTGAAAATCTGGATAGTGATACAACAGTGAAATTGTGTCCTGCAAGACCAACCCACATGAGAAGGTTCTGGCTGCACCTAGAGACCTTTCCAAGGATGAGGCACTTGTGCTCCTGTGATCTAGGGGTGGCTGAAGCTGGGGTAGATGATGACATCGGGACTCTTTGGGGGTGCTGTCTTTCGTTCATAGAAGAGATAAACTTTAAAAAATCTACCTAGCATTGAAGACAGTGAGGCTATTTTGGTAAAACAAGAATTAGAAATTATGGATAAGAGTTAATGGTCCTGAAACAGCTTATCCATCTGTTTTGATGCTTTATATTATACAGTATGGAGAAGAATCTCTTCTATGGATAAGTAGTGGTATTCACAGACTTTAAATGGGTGGAAATGCATTGCTCTGAGGTGAAAATCCCACTCCAAGCGTATAGCCTTCTAGTCAGTGACATTTCGTAAGAATATAGAGAGAGGAGGTAAGGAGGTAACAGCTTGCCTATGGTTTTTAACCTCCTTAAAGTGTCTTTTTCCTTTGTTTTTCCTCATAAATACTAGGATTACTACCTTCCTTTCCATTCAGTTGTTGTAAGGATTATTAATAAAATGTGGTGCCTAACAGTGCCAAGTATGGCATAAGGCACACAGTAGACCCTTAGTAAATGTTACTTCTTTTCCCCCAGCCCTATTCAGCCTCTTCCTATATCAGGGATGAAAGAGGGATCAGATCTTTGGCTTGCTAAGATGCTTTTCCAGATGTCCATGTTCTCATAGCCTCCACTGTCTTTTAGTACCTCCACCAGCTTTATTTCTTCTGTCCCAGCCTAGCCTATGACCCATCCTCACTGGTACCTAAAATGTTATTACTTTTCTGTTTCCTTCTGCCTGCAGGTGCTAGTAAGTCTCTGTCAGAAGACCTGAATTCGGGTCATAATTCTACCCTCATTAGTTCTAGTTTTGTGATTAAAGAGGCATAATTAAATGCAAAAGATACTGAATCCAAACACCTGACTTCTATTTCTACCTTTGCTTAAGTATGACCTTGAGCAAATTTTTTTCATTTTTGTGTCTGTTTCTTCATGTATGTAGTTAAATTAATGGCCCTTACACATTAAGAGTATCCTAGATGTTTTATACATGTTATCTTACTAATCATCACGGTAACCTTGCAGAGGAAGTGATACTATCCAATTTGAAAAAGAGGAAGACTGAGGTTCAGAGAAGTTAAGTATTGGGTTGTCAGAAAAGACATGATGTATTTTTCTATGCAGAAATGCACTATGCTTTTTCTGACGACCAGTAGTCTGCATACGGTAGATGTAGTAAGGTGCGGACACTAGGTGTGAATGTCCAAGTCATAAGGCTGCACTTTTATACTTTGCTGCTTTTACTTTATATTGGGCTTTACATTGTACAGAACAGTTGCACCCGAATAAACTCAATACTACAACCACAGTGGGTAGATGGTGTTCATTTCATACAAATGTGCAACATGATTCTCAAGTTGAGGGACTTGCTCACACAGAATCTAAGCTCTAACCCTAGGTCCAGCTAGTGGTCTTTCCCATACATTTTACTGCATGTGGTAAAATAGTGGGTGAATGACACATTGTACACTGTAAAGAGGTAGCAGCTCTTCACCTCTGGACATTTTCCCATTGCAGACCCTGCCTATGTGAGCACACACCACTACTGAATGTTCTGATTTCTTGAACAGGTGTCAGTCCCTCTAAGCTACTAGAAATGAATCGAGTAGTCTAACCAAAGGATCACGTAGGTGTGGCAGTGCCCATCTAGGATGGAAGTGTCAGTGGTTCTCTGCCAACTCATGTCAAGTTTTCTGTGGTTTCTTAAGTCTACCTGCAGTGTGCTCTCTCTTCTTACCCCACCGATTTGCCCATTTGGTTGGAGGGTTCTGGAGCAGAACATCTAATTAATAAAGGATGCCATAAATGGTGCTGTTAATCACCTTCTGTTTCTTTTCATCCTGAATCTTATCACCGAAGTAATGGTGAAGCTTTTTAGAATGGACACATAGGCTTTGGGAATTCTGTGGTGGGTTGAGTGAGAGTTAGTATAGAGGAAATATTCTTGATGTGACAATATGATATAAAATTATGATCTTAGTTATCAAATTTTTTTCTAATATAGCTGTTTTACATTTATTCTTTTTTGTTTGTTCGTTTGTTGTAAGGCACATGTGCTTATCAGAGAGAGGTAGAGAAAGGGGGAAAAAGAGAGAAAGTGAGAAGTCGCCACCCAAGGGGAACAGCCATACCACATTGCTTTTTCATTATTATTGGGATTTGGGGGCACTCCTGCACACGTACTTGGCATGTTTTTTCAAGCTGCCGGGTCTGGGACTCACTGCGCAGTTGGCCACGTAGGTTCCATCTGCCTTAATCTCCACATCACTGACTAGTCCTCAGTAGAGATACTTAATGATATACGATGGGCAATTTTTGTTATATTTTGGATTGCAGTTCTATTTTTACTAATTAGTCTTTCCTCAGCGTTTCTGCAAAACTGTTTCTTAGTCAACTTAATTTCTTGAGTTGAAATCAATGAATCTATACCTACCTATGGAAGACAGTTTTCATTAATAAAATTATGCTGCTTTTACTTGCTGATTATATTATTTTTAATATATTGGGTCACTGGAAAAGTTATGACACATTTTTCTTTGCAAAAATACGTACATCATAAGTTTTCTGACAACCCAGTACGTTTGTGTTTATTCCCTATCAACAGATAGTCACTTTGGAAGGTGAGTTTGTTTTGTATTGGTTTTGCCCTTAAGTTTTTCTTCAAAAATTAAAGTAAGAATTCATTTTTTCACTTTTAGGAAATGCTAAATGTTCATGATCATTATCAGAGCATGAAAAATGTCATTTCAGCTGATAAGTCCAAGCCAGACAAAGCTCTCAGCTTGATCAAGGATGATTTTTTTGACAACATTAAGAAGATAGTTTTGGAGCATCAGCAGTGGCATAAAGACAGAAAGGTATGCCCTTCCTCGTTTGAGACCTTTCCTTGGCATTACACGTGCATGGTACCCCTGAGAGGCAGCTCAGTGTAGTGGGTCCCTTTTTGTGGTGCTAAGATTTAGAGTGTTTCAGCTTTTATACTTTTGCCTTTGCTGCTCATTAGCTATGCGATGTTCTTTAGCCTTACAGGTGGATACTTTCGTAGTCGAGTAAATAATCTTGTTATATCACAGATTTATTGGAATCTTCATAATTTGGCATTTTTCATGGGTTGTACACTGGACAGTTTTGGGGCCAAATCCTGCACACAAATGTATTTTATTTGACACCATGTTGATCATAACATTGTTTTTAATAACTTCAGTTAGTTACCAAAATTGAAATAGTAATGCACTTCACCCCAAATTGTAGATATCCAGTTTTGCTTAAAAATCAGAAAGTCTGAGAGCAGCAGTTGACATAATGGCTATATCGCTGGACTCCCATGTAGCCGACCACGGTTCGAGTCCTGGACCCAGTGGCTTAAACTCACCCTGGGCGTGTGTGTGTGCGTGCCCATGATCCTGAGAGGAGAATGGAAGAGTAGGGATTGCGACGTGGCCATCTCCCCTGGGGGGTGATTTCTTGCTTTCTGTCTCTCTCTGTCTTTCTGGTGAGCACACGCGCCCTGTAGCAGAAACCTCTCCTCCCAAAAAAGTAAAAAAAAAAAAAAAAAAAAAAAAAACCACATAAATAACAGAAGGTCTGGGGCCAGCAGGTGATGTAGTGTTTATGTCGCTGGACTCCCACGTGACCGACCGCAATTCGCGTTCCAAATCTGGTGGCTTGAAACTCATGCTGTGTGTGTGCCTGTGTGCCCAAGATCGTGGGAGAAGAATGGAGAAGGGATTGTGGCATGGCCATCCCCTTGGGGAGTGATTTCTCACTTTCCCTTTCATGGTCTGTCTCTGTCTCCAGTGAGTGCACATACCCTAAGGCAAAAAACTCTACCAAAAAATATCCGAAGGTCTGATAACACCAACCCCACTCTCCTGCATGGCAGCAGACAGCTAGACTGAGTGGATTTCCCCACTGTATCAGGGCATATCTTCTCTATTTGCCACATTCCCTACCTGGTGTGGTTTATCCGTTTATAAGGCTCATCAACACAGATCTTTAATTTAGCTTTCTTTTAAAAATTTTGCCAGAGGGTATGCGTGCTTGTTGGAGAGAAATAGAGAAAGCATGAAAGCAACCTCCATAGAGGATGGTCACACGTTAATCCCTTTTCTCCATCTCCCTTTTTTTTTTTTTGGTATTTTTGGGCATATATGCACATGCGCTCACGGGAAGTGAGAAACTGCCCCCTAGGGGGATGACCATGTTACAATCCTTCTTTATCCTTCTCTCAGGATCTTGGGTACATAAGTACATGGCCCGGTATGATTTTTTAAGCTCCTGAGTCCGGACTCAAACTACAGAGTTGGCCATGTGGAATCCAGTCACCTTAACCAGCCACTGGCCTACTATTCTCTTTTAATTGGTAAGTGTTCCATGAGCATTAATAAAACCTCTGAGATCCTGAAGGAAAGGAGAATAAACCAATTTTCTTTTTTTTTTTTTTTCTTTTTTTTTTTTGGAGAGGTTTTTGCTATAGGGTGCATGTGCTTACCAGACAGACAGAGAGAGACAGAGAGACAGAAAGTGAGAAATCACCCCCCCAGGGGGGATGGCCACGCCACAATCCCTTCTCCTCCTTTCTCCTCTTGAGATCTTGGGCACGCATGCACACGCACCTGGCGTGAGTTTAAGCCACCAGGTCCGGGACTCGAACCTCAGTCGACTACTTGGGAGTCCAGTGACACAGCCATTACGCTAACTGCTGGTCCCCCAATTTTCTTACTAGTACATAAAGTCCATACTGCCCTTCATTAGTTAGGAGGACTTAGGTATCTTATTGAAGACTTTTAGAATCAGTTTGAAACCTGTGATCTTAATGTCAGGTGGTGAATTGTGCCACAATAATGTGAAATGATCTTTATGGTCTTCACTTATTAAAAGTAACAGATTCTCACTTTTCTGAAATTATTTGCAATGAATTGAGTTGTAAATGTATGTGTGCATTTATATAACTTTCTTATTCTTTCAGAATCCATCCTTAAAATCAAAAGTTAAAGAAGGAGAAGAAAAGAAGGAAGGAAGTTCACAAGACTCAGAGGTCAGAAAACTGTGATTGCTTATGGGGCAGTATTTTAGTTAACTTCTTTTCACTTTGTGTGTAATCTATTATAATAAATATAATTTATCGTATGGACATATATACATGTGAAATATAATAGAGTAAATTCTGAATCACAGTTCTGGGAAAAGCTAGTGTGTTCTTTACTGGAAACCTTGTGAAAGACCCGACCAGGTACAGGTCGCGAATGAGGATGTTACTTTAATCAGGGAAAGAAAATAGGGTGGTGAGAGATGTGCTCACTTCCTAGAGGGACAGGGAAAGGCTTTTTAAATATGTCTTTGTCAGCCTTTCAGCCAGTGTGAAACTAAGCCACTATTAACTGTTTCCTGACTCATCTTAGTGGATGAGACAAGGTTATCTTTGTGCATAGGCAAGGAGGGAATGGCAGTCGGGGCTCTGATCACCAGGGCTTCCATTCATCTTCTCTCTGAATCCTGGATGAAAGTGGTCAATAGCCGTGGGGCGGTCTCATGTCAGCTAGAGAATACAGTGCGTGTTTATGTGCCTCTTCTCAATATGTGCCCAGTAAATGAAACTAAAGAAAATTATATCTAACTTCTGATAACAAATACTTGAGTATTCATAATTTCACCTAATGTTGTGTGTTTTAACTTTTTTCTTTTCTATTCATTTTGCTTCCAGAGGTGTGAAAGGGCAGAGGCATTAGCAAAAATCAAATCAAAGGCCTTTTCAGTTGTTGTTCAGGTAAGTTACTTCCTTAAATGGATAATTTAGAAATCGACCCGATGCCTTTTGAATCACTTTTTACTTTTTTGTCATAGTAACACGTGTTTGTTAGCTTAATAAGTCAGATCATACTGGAGCTCATATAGCCTGGCAGTCCCTTGAGGGGCCACTGCGCACTGTTACGTCTCTAACCCTGATGGGCAACTACTTTCTACTTTGTATCTCCTAGCAATTTCCCCTGTTGTTCACCTGTTTGATGCCATTTGCTTTTATCATCTTTTAGTTCCTAGTATTCCTGATACTGGAGGGTTTTAGGAGTTTTAAAATTTAATGATTGATTATGTAACAAAAGTTCCTGATAATGACCTTGGTGTAGGTCTGGGCACTCATGGTGTCCATCTTCTTAGTCTTTGTTTCTGAGGGATATTTTGTTGTTCTTTGATAGTATTCTTTGCTGCGTTTTTTTCTTTTCTAGTTCTTTTATTTATTTATTTATTTATTAATCTTTAGCTTTTGTCTCTTTTTTTCATTTTTTTTAAGTGGTTTTTCCTATAGGGTGCATGCACTCACCAGAGAAAGAGAGAGAGAGAGACAGAAAGCAAGAAATCACCCCCCGGGGGGATGGCCACGCTGCAATTCCTTCTCCCTCCTCTCGGGATCTTGGGCATGCACATACGCACATGTGCCTGGTATGAGTTTAATCCACTGGGTCCAGGACTTGAACCACAGTCGACTACATGGGAGTCCAGCGACATAGCCATTACACCTACTGCTGGTCCCATATCTTTAGCTTTTGTCTCTCTCTCTTTTTTTTTTTTTAATTATTTATTTAACTTTATTTATTCATTCATTCATTTTTATTTTGACCACAGGAACACACACAGAGAGAGAGAGAGAGAGAGAGAGAGAGAGAGAAGGTGAGAAAGCAAGCCACCAGGTCCAGGACTTGAACCATGGTCAGCCAAGTGGGAGCATCCAGCATCTTAACCACCACGCCACCTACTGGTCCTGCTTTTGTCTCTTTATTGATACTTTCTGGGAGGTTTCTTAAGCTTTATCTTCTGAGCTTTTTTTAAAAATTTTTTTTAAAGACATGGTCTTGCTATGTCATGATCATCCTGCCACAGCCTCCCAGTAGACAAGAATATGAATGTGCCACTGCACCCAGCTTTTTTTTTTTTTTTTTTTTAAAGAGGTTTTTGCTATAGGGCGCGTGCGCTCACCAGAAAGACAGAGACAGACAGAGAGACAGAAAGCGAGAAATCATCCCCCCCAGCCGGGGTGCCACGCCACAATCCCTTCTCCTCCATTCTCCTCTCAGGATCTTGGGCGTGTATGCACACATGTCCGGCTTGAGTTCAAGCCACTGGGTCTGGGACTTGAACCACGGGTGAATATGTGGGAGTACAGTGACAGCCTTGACGCTAACTGCTGGTTCCTGCACCCAGCTTTTTAGGTTTGGCTGGGAATTGGGCCTGGGCTTCCTGTGTATTCTCAACCTGCAGAGAAGTTGCTTTGTATCAGTATGTGCCACTGTCGTTGGACCAGAACCATTATTTAGATTACTTAAATTTCTGCTGATATATTTTCATTCTTAAGAACTTCCTTTGTTCTCTGGATGTTTCTTTCTTCAGTTTAAAAATTTTGTTTTTTAGGAGGGCACATGGCATGATGGTTAAGGTGCTGGACTTCCACATGGCTGACCATGGTTCAACTCCTGGACCTGGTGGCTTGCTTTCTCACTTTCCCTCTCTCTCTCTGTCTCTCTCTCTCTCATCAAAATAAAGAATATTAATGATAACAAAAATACTTTTTTAAAAATAATTTTTGTTTTTCCTTTTTTTGTAGGATGAAATATCTTTTCTTCTTTAAGGATATTAACTATAGTTTTTTTAAATTTCATTTTCTCTGAGCTCCCTTTTTTCCTATTTATTTTGATCTGTGTTTTATCTTGTTGAGTTTTTTTTTTTTTCCAAGTGATAGGAAATCCTCAGATGTGTGTTCATATTTGAGAGTGACTAAGACGAGATGAAACTTTTTTAATATCTGCATTTCTTTTCCATTAGTCTCTTCATGGGGGGGAATATGGGACACATACCTAGCTGCCAGAATTCCAGAACCTACACCAGCTATCAGCCCCAAGGCTTATGATCCTTCAGCAGGTTTCACTCAGCCTCCCTATTTTCAGTAAACGGTCTCATCTCCTTCTTCAGCTTCCCCGGTTTTTCCATACATCTTTTGTTTAGTTTCCAAAAGGCAAACCTATTTTCTACAGGAGAACAGGTGCTTAACTTTGAGGCTGGGGAAGGCAACACTGTTCCCTCTGTAGGTTCTTAATACATTTACCTCTTTTAGTACCATTTTTGGTGACTCCAGTTTCTGATCCACTCGGATCAGCTTGCTTTATACTACCTCCTCAGTGTAGGTAACTGGGATTCAACCTTCTTCAGTCTTAAGTTTGCTGTTGCTGACTCTTCCACTTTCCATCTTCCAAACTTTTGCTGTTTCATTACAATTATGTGGTTTCCTGTTTTCTGTATTTTTGTAGGTTTATCCATCTTGATTCATTTACTAATAAATATTACATAAGTATTGTTGAATACTTAGGTGCCAAGGACAATTAATTAGTTAACCCAGATTATTTTTTTTGAGAGATTTTTGCTGTAAGGCCGCATGTGCTCACTAGAGAGACAGAGAGACAAAAAGTGAGCAATCACCCCCTCCCAGGGGGATGGCCATGCTGCAATTCTTTCTCTTCCATTCTCCTCTTGGGATTTTGGGCATGTATATACATGTGCCTGGCGTGAGTTTCAAGACTCCAGGTCTGACACTCAAACTGCGGTTGGCCATGTGGGAGTCCAGTAACGTAACCATTATACCTTCTGTTGATCCCAATCCAAATTCTTTTAACCAGAACTTTTTTCACATATATAATATGCTAATTGATGTTTAATATGTATTTTAAGACATTATGATACAATTTTTTAAGTCATTAAATTATGCTTCTTATAAATTGATACAAGTATATGTCACAACATGGTATGATTCCCCCCCATTTATTTAGGTGCAGTTGACAGACAGTACACAGTTGCTTTTTAAGAAATGTTAAAACCTATACTGCATACACAACATTAACTGAAAACTCTTTGCTCAGGCAAATAAAGAAATTTATTGCCTAATATAATTGGAAAGTCCTTGGCCAGCTGGCCTCAGTCAGATATCACCAGGACTGTCCCTCCATGTCTGACTGTTATATTGTGTTTACTGTCTTTCTTTTTTTTTTTTGCACTCACCTTCTGTTTTTTTTTTTTTTTTTTGGAGAGGTTTTCGCTATAGGGCGCGTGCGCTCGCCAGACAGAGAGAGACATAGAGACAGAAAGCAAGAAATCACCCCCCAGGGGGGTGGTCACGCCGCAATCCCTTCTCCTCCATTCTCCTCTCGGGATCTTGGGCACGCACGCACACGCGCCCAGCGTGCACTCACCTTCTTTAAATTCATGACAGCTTAGCCTTGTACATTCCTAACTTTAGGTTCAAGAAATTTTTTTTCCTAATAGTCAGTTTTATAATTGAATTCCATTAGCTATAATACAGACCACATGCCTACCTGTGAACAAATAGCAGTGGTCATGGGAATGCCAAGTTCATTTGGGCAGATAGAAGCCATGGCCATACTTTGAGCCCGAAGTGAAGGAGTTCCACTCAAAACCCGTGGTGGTACCTAAGGAAAATAAGGTTATTACTAGAGTAAGGGAGATTCTGTTATTAGAAACAGGACTAAAACAGAGTTTGTCTCTACACCTCCTTTTCCCAGCCATGCCAGATAACAGAATAGCTGCATTATAACCCTGTGTGAGTAGATAATAATGACAGGCATGGGAAGCTTTTTAAGTCACAAAGATAAAAGACAATGTATGTGGCAGAGGTAATTATGTTAAATCAGTGTGATATTAAGGCCGTTACGACAAGAGTTTCTGTAAATCTGTCTTCATCTTTGATTGTTATTTTGTCTTTCTCTAAATTATCTGTTGGTTGGGTTCATTTTGTAAATCATTGTAGTTGATTGATTTCCTTCTTTTAAGGCATCCAAGTCAAGAAGGCATCGTCAAGTCAAGCTTGATTCATCTGACTCTGATTCTGCATCTGGTCAAAACCAAATCAAGGCAACTAGGAAAAAAAGAACCAAAGAAACATTTAAAAAGAAGGAAGATGTCTTCCAGAAACAAAGGTAAGTTTTTTAAGTCTTGCTGAGAGTCAACAGGGAGTTTGGGCCTTACTTACAAAACTGTAGTAGGCCGGGTATTACTAAAAATTCCAAGCCTCATGTGTCAGTCCCACCCTGGATAAAAGAAAGTTTCTTTCATCTGATTTTGAAAGTGTGTGTATGTGTAATTAGACCACAATCTACCTCACATTTAATGATAATAACGCTGAAAGTATAGCAGTTTTATTTAACACTGCTCTTGGACTAGTAAATGTAATCAGAGTGAAATAAGATATTTTATCATAAAGAAAACAAAGTTATTAAGATTTATGAATGACTGATTTTATGCCTAAAACATATTCTAAAGAGAATTTGCTAAACAAAAAATTCAGTAAGGTAAATACTACTACACACCTTCTAGAAATTAAAAGGTTAACAGGGAAAAATTATGAAAAATATGGTAATAAATTAGATAGTTTAAATAAAATGGATATATTTCCTGAAGCATACAATTTCCCAAAGTTGACACAAGAATAGAAAAAAGAATAGTTCTATGTCTACTAATTAAATTCCTAGATGATATCACTGAAATTTTAGCAAAATTTAAGAAAGGCATAATATCAGTTCTGGGGGTCAGTGGGTGGCCTGGTGGTAAGGGCACTGGACTCCCACATGGCTGACTGCAATTTGAGTTCTGGACCCGGTGACTTCCTTTCTCACTTTCTCTCGCTCTGTCCTTCTCTGGTCTAATTGAAATTAATTAATTAATTAGCTAATTAAAGTTAAATAAAATACTTTTTAAAAATTGACATTTTTAAAAAGAATTATTTTATTCAACTTTATTCATTCATTTATTTATTTCAATTTGACAGAAAGGGATAGTGTTAGAGAGAGAGAGAAAGCAAGCCACCAGGTCCAGGACTCGATCCACAGTCAGCCATGTGGGAGTCCAGCACTCTTAACCACCATGTCACTTGCTGACTCCCAAAAATATCAATTCTATACAGATTCTGTAAGAAAATAAAATGGGAATACTTTCCAGTTTATTGACATTGTAAAAAAGTTAAGCAATAATGTCCCTCCTGATCATATGTGCTAAAGTCCTTATAAAATATTACATGTTGAATCCAACAATATATTACTGGGATAATATGTAATGAACAACAAGGGTTTATTCAAGGAATAAAGGGTTGGTTCAGCATAAGAAAATAAATCAAGATAATTCATCATATGAGCAAACTAACGGAGAAAAATAATAGAATAGTCTCCATAGATAATAGATGAAATATTTGACAAAATCCAACATCTGTTATAAACTCTGAACAAATTAGGGTTAGAAGGGAATATCCTTAATCTGATAAAGGATCTCTCTGAAAACTTACACCTAAATAATATCATAAGTTAATGTTAAAACGATGCTTCTCTTCCTGAAAGTAAGGTGCGGATGCCTGCTGTCATTGCACCTATTAAACATTATCCTGGAGGTCCTAGCCAGTATAGTAAGGCAAGAGAGGGATACAGTAGACATTTAGACATACATGGTCTTAATGGATTAGAAGAATAGACATTGATACATACATGTACTTAAAGGATTAGAAGACCCAATATTAAGATGTCAACTAATTTCAAATTCTACAGAGTCCACATACTCCCAACTGAAGAAAATCCCAGAAGGGGGGCTGGACACAGTGGTTAAGGCACTGGACTCCTGAATGGCCAATCATGGTTCAAGTCCTGAACCCAGTGGCTTGAAAATCATGCCAGATGCATGCACATGCATGTGTGCCCAAAATCCTGAGAGGGGAATGGAGAAAGATTGGTGGCATGGCCATCCTTCTGGGAGATGATTTCTTACTTTCTCTCTGTCTAAGTTCAAGTGCCCTATGGCAAAAATCTAAAATCAACAACAAAAAAATTCCAACAAGGTTATTTTATATAAATTAACAAGCTAACTTTTAAGTATATATGAAAATGAAAAGGAATTAAAGTAGCAAAAGCATTTTGAAAAATAACAATAAGGCTTCAGAAATCAAGACCATGTGCTATCTACAAAAAGATAGGGACATAAAACAATAGAGAATTATAGAGATCTAGAAATATTTTCAGACGTATATGGTCATTTTTTAAAAGCTATCTTATTTGAAGTTTTCATTTGTTCCCTGAGTGAGAAAGATTATCTATCACTGTGGCAAGGTCCTGTTGCTGTGATGTATCCCCATTGTCAGTCAGCCTATTCCTTGTTATGTACCTATTACACTTAATGTTCATGCAAAAATTTATACACAAAAGTTTATAATGTTTTTAATTGTAATGGTTAATGCTACAAACAGCAGTATGTCCTTCATGGGTGATTAGATGAACAAACTGTGGCCCATCTGTGGTCCATCCATATAGTAAGGACTGCTGATGTATGTAACAGTGCAGATGGATCACATGTACACCATGCTAAGTGAAAGAAGCCAGACACAAAAGGAAACATACTATATGATTCTATTTATGCAACATCCTGGAAAAGGCAAATCTATAGGGCCAGAAAACAGATTAGTGGTTTTAGGGTCTAGAGGTTAGAGGAATGTGTTGGGGATTGAAAATGGGTACAAGGGGGATTTGGTGGGTGGTGGAAGGGTTCTGTCTTTTGATTCAGTGGTGATTGCACAGCTGTGTTTGTCTCAGTTCCTAGATCTGTACATGAAATCCAGTGTATTTGTATTGTTTCACATTATCTGTTACTATTACATCAGCAGTCCTGAACAACAACCAAAGCAAAGCAAAACCAGGAGACATGAGGAAAAGATTGTTTGGTTTGCTTACATTTAAAAAAATAACTTCTAGTGAATTACAGTATTCTTTTCTGAAGTATCACACACAGTTATTGGGTCGTTGGGAAAATCATGATACATTCTTGTATAGAAAAATACATTATGACTTTCTGATGTCCTAGTAGGTTTACAAATGCACACAAGCACTTTTTGTTAATAATCAACCTTCATACAAGTATAGCAGGGAGCCGATCTGGTCAAGCTGCTTTTGTGAACACCTGAAAAACAGTTTTTCGTGTGGTTGAGGAACAAGTATAAGACAGGAAAGGAAGGGAATCAAGTTTGACAACTATAGTTTATAAAATATGATGTTGTTCACTACCCGTGTTTTATTATTTAATGTAGTTGCTGAAAACACTTGTTTCATAAACTCTAACAGTAATTTAAGGACGTGCTCTGTGGCACATCTGAGCTTTGTTATTGAATTTTCTTAGAAAATAAGGGAGGATTTAAACCACTGGGAAGAATAAAGTATAACGAAATATAATTAAATGCAGATCTTCAGTCCTAGCTTAACTCTTTGCAGTAACCAGCTTTATAGCACTAAAGGTATTATAAATACTCTGAAGCAAAAGTAGTTACTTGAACAATATTAATTACCTGGACCCAATAATTACCCAAGTACTTACTTTATAGTTTCTCTTGAATCAAAAGTTCATTTTCTTAATGTGGAAAAGTATTTTTGATTTCATAGTTTTGTTCAAAAGGAGAAGCTTAATATTACATAAAAGGTAAAAAATTTTGTAAAACTATTTATACCACCTATGATAATGTTAAAATTTTTTGATTTAGGAGAGTTCTCATACATTAATAAAGGGGCTTACACGTGTACCATTAATAAAAAATGGGCTTAGGACACAAATTGACAATTTGCAAACAAAACATGAACAGTCAATGTGTATATAAAGAGATATTTAATTTCATTAACAATTAAAGAAATGTAAATTAAAACATGATTTGGGGCCAGCAGATGACGTAGTGGTTATGTTGCTGGATTCACACATGGCCGACCATGGTTTGAGTCTTAGACGCAGTAGCTTGAAAATCATGTGGGGCGTGTGTGTGTGAATGCCCAGAATCCAGGAGGAGAATGGAGGAGAAGGGATTGAGGCATGACCATCCCCCCTGGGGGAGGTGATTTCTTACTTTTCCTCTCACTGTCTCTTTCTCCTGTGAGTGCATGCATCCTATGGCAAAAATCTTCCCCCCCAAAAAAATCACATGATTTTCTATATCACTTATTAGATAAACAAAGATGAAAGATAATGGAATACCTATTAATAGTGAAGGTGGAAGAGAGAAATCTCTGAATTTAAGTGGAAGATTAAGTTGACTGCCGACTTTTCAGATAGCAATTTGAATCATGTGCATGCTTTTTAACTTAGCAATTCTTTTTTTTTTTTTTTTGGAGAGATTTTCGCTATAGGGCACATGCGCTCGCCAGACAGACAAAGACATAGAGACAGAAAGTGAGAAATCACCCCCCAGGGGGGATGGTCACGCCGCAATCCCTTCTCCTCCATTCTCCTCTCAGGATCTTGGGCACACACGCACATGCGCCCGGTGTGAGTTTTAAGCCACCGGGTCCGGGACGCGAACCGCGGTCAACTACGTGGGACTCCAACGACATAGCCATTATGCTAACTGCTGGTTCCCTTTAACTTAGCAATTCAACTTCTGGGAATTATCCCATACAAAAGACAAATACACAAAGATAGTCATTGCAAGATTATTTAAAATGGCAGACTGTAAACAACTCAAATGTATAGTGTTTTAAAAATTACATGAATAAAATTGTCATCTGCATACAAAAAAGCTACAGAAAGTTTATATATACTTACATGAAAATATGTCTAAGATCTATTGATACATTGCTTAGTGAAAGAAGATTTTTAAAGAAGACCATGATTACATATCTTTTAATAAATATATATATATATATATATATATATATACACACACATACAAACAATATATAGCTTTGAAGAAATGCAGATGTATACTAAGTATTACCTGTGGTCAGTTTCAGGGATGAGATATTGAGAAACTTTTAAGGCCATACATTTATATAATGTTTGAATTTTATGTGAGAACTATGTGTACCTTTAGTAATCAGAGAAAAATCCAAAGATTTTAAAAAAAGGATAAACATACTAGCAGTATGGACTTAAGGTAGGAGGACTGACATGAAAAGAGAAGACCCAACCTGGTGGCACAGTTAGTGACAAGCTCAACTGTGGTGCTAAAAGCCATATGGCTAACCGCAGGTTCAGATCCCAGGGATGGCTGGGGACAAGGCTTACGTGTGCACCCAAGATGCTGAGAAGCTGGAGGGAAGGGAAAGGGGACTGTAGTGTGATAGGACTCCATCAGGATGTACCCCTCCCCCTTCCTCTCTATTTCTCTCTCTTGCTCACTCACAAGTGGGCACAGTGCTGTCATGAATAAATAGTGTAAAGGGTGTGTTAACCATGGATAAAGTTGGAAAAGTATGTATTTAAACGTGGAATCATGAAGTTTAGGCTGATTTTTTTTTTAGGTAGAGGGGAGTCATCTGAAACTTCTAAGTAAGAAAGTGGCATAACTGAAGATTTCCTTAAAGAAATTCAATCTGCATATATAGTATGGAAAGTAGGTAGGAACAAAATGAAAATAGGAACAAGAGGCTGTTGCAGGAATTTGGGCTTGGGTAAGCATCTGGCCAAGTGGTAATAGGAGTTGGAGAAGCTGACTAACATGTGAGCTGAATATGGAGGCTAATGGAGAGGGATGCGATAGGAAGGCTTCATGCCTAAGCACCGGGAGACTGTTGACGTCTTTAATTTTGGAAATATGAATGTATGATGGTTTATTTGGGAGAGAATTTGCATCCACCTGCCTTTCCTGATTTACTATTTTTTTTTTTAGGAATTATTTATTTAATTTTATTATTATTGTTTAATTTGACCAGAAAGAACAGAGAAAGGAAGGGGGGAGTGAGAAAGTAATCTGCCAGGCCTGAGACTTGAACCGTGGTTGGCCATGTGGGAGTCCAGTGCCCCAGCCAACCACTCCATCTGCCAGCCCTCTGACTTAATTCTTATATTAGCAGTCTGACACATAAATAGGTGCTTAGCGTATTGATTTAATTTATTTTAGTTTGTATTACAATATTTAAGCTTCAGTTGTATGTGTTTACCATTCCGAAAATGTAGCGTGCATGTTCTCAGAAGGCATCAGTAGTAGTAATGATACAGTGGTGAAGACGGTAACAGCTACTATTAGTGTACTGCTTATTATTGCCCATCTTTTCTCACATATCCAAGGTCACCCAGCCGATAAATAGCACAATTGAGACTTGAGAGTCTGTCTGAATCCAAGCCTGAGTCTTTAGCTGCCTCACTGTGGGCTACATCTCGAGTGTTGGGAGAGGTACATCTAGAGCTCAAATTAGGCATGCACTTCTGTTGGTGTGCTCTTAGTTGTGTTGGTGTGTTCTTAGTTGTTTTCTAGCTGCAAGTGTAGTGATCATTTGTTTTGACAGTACAGTGGTCTCTTTTCTTGAAGAGAGATTTTTGTTATAGGGCACATGTGCTTCCCTGAGAGAGACAGAGAGACACAAAGCAAGAAATCACTCCTAGTGGGGATAATCATCCCATAATCCCTTCTCCATTCTCCTCTCGGGGTTTTGGGCACGGATGCACACGTGCCCAGTGTGAGCTTTAAGCCATCAGGTCCAGGACTCGAACCTTGTCGATTATGTGAGTGTCCAGCAACATAACCATGATGCTATCTGCTGGTCTCAAGCAACGGTCTCTTAATGATCATTGTATCCCACAGAGTTAGCCTTGACATAGTGAAACTATCTACGTGCGGCCTTCTGGGGAATTATTTTTGTGCTTATTTGAGGTTAAAGATTTAAATATCAAAATTTACTTTTAAAAGTTTAGTTGTTCTGGTCCATATCTTTCTTAAATATATTACATTCTTATTTATGTTTCTTGGTTTCTTTTGGAGAGGTTTTGCTATAGGGCACGAGCACTTGCCAGAAAGACAGAGACAGAAAGCAAGAAATCACCCCCCCCACCCCGGGGCATGGCCACGCCACAGTCCCTTCTCCTCCATTCTCCTCTTGGGGTCTCGGGCATACATGGACACACGCCTGGCGTGAGTTTAAGCCACCAGGTCTGGGACTTGAACCACAGTCTACTACATGGGTGTCCAGTGACATAGCCATTATGCCAACTGCTGGTCCCTGTTTCTTGTTGTTTACAGTGTCCATCTAGCATTTGTTTTACCTTTTAAGAATTATTTATTTAATTTTATTTATTATTAATTAATTATTTTTTAATTTGACTATTGAGTGACAGAGAGAGGGAAAGTGAGAAGGCAAGCCACTTTTTAAAAAGTACAGTTTCTGTCAGATTTACTGCAATGGGTGCCTTTCTGTACTCAGCGTGCAGGTTTGGAGCAATTTGGTTTTTTCCTTTTTCTATTTCTAAACTGTGATAGGCTAGGAAATGAGGTAGCCATTCATTTCAGTTTTATAACTGATTCGTTTCTGGATAAAGGCCACAGAAGACCTGTGACCAAAGTTCATGAACTTTGTTATGTGGACTTTAAAATAAAGGACTGAAAGTTTCGCTTGTTCACTTTTTGGCTCCAGGCTGCATTCTGGGTGGGTAAAACATTGTTTTTAAGATCTTTTCAGGACTCTTGATTCATTTAATTTAGAATAGATCTCTAAATTAGTTAATCATCATGTAATCGGAATTTGACACAACTGTCAAATTCTTAACTTAGAAATCCTCCCCTTGACATTGTTGAATAGATTGTTCATAAATATGGGTTTTTAAAATCATTAATATTGATATAGGTGGACGTGGCTAAAAGATTGTGAAGACATAATAGTAGTTTTGGGTAGTTCAACTAATTATCATTTTGTGGAGCACTGAAAAAAATGTACACATTGAAAGGCTATAGATGTATGATTAGTTATGGAAAGAGGTTTCCTAAACGGTTATCTGTTATCTTAAAGATCACATAAAAAATCATTTTACTTGTTATTTAGGAGTTGCAAGTAAAGGTAAAATCCTACTCTAATGACTTAACAGGAAACTGGTATTTGTTAAGTTTGAATTACGTTCAAAATGGAAGCATATTGCTCCAGTTCATTCAACTCTGTCTTAGAGTACTGTTCATTCATAAGGTTCCAGAATACATACTTTCAGAGCAGAAAGCATAATCATTTTTGTTTAATTTTTTGCCTCTGGAGTTGACAGGTACTTATTAACATAGTTGTTTTAAGAAATAGTGTTATAAAATAGTTGAATCTACATTTAATCATTTAATAAATATTTATTGAGGCTCTCCTATATGCCAGGCACTTGTCTAAGCCGTGAGACTGAAGATACATCATGTGAACAAACCACAGTTTACCCTTGTCCTTACATTCTAGTGGGAAGAGGCAGGCTATAAAAAAAAGATTAATTCACGGCTTATCAAACTGTAAGAGTGTTGTGGAAAAGGAAAATGCACCATGAGAAACGCAGAGTGACTGTGCATGGGAGTTACGTGCTGAATGGCAGCTGATGTGACAATGGTATTTGATAAATTTGATTAGGATATTTTTTTGGGCAACAGAAGTTTAATGTAAAAAATCTCTAGTGTTTTCTTGTTTGCTTGTTTGTTTGGGTTTTTTTTGGAGAGATTTTTGCTATAGGGCACGTATAATCGCCAGAAAGACAGAGAGACAGAAAGCAAGAAATCACTCCCCAGGGGAGATGGCCATGCCACAATCCCTTCTCCTCCATTCTCCTCTTATGATCTTGGGCATGCACGCACACACACGTGCCCAGCGTGAGTTTAAGCCACCAGGTCCAGGACTAGAACTGCGGTTGACTACATGGGAGTCCAGTGACATAGCCATTACGCCATTTGCTGGTCCCTGTTCATTTGTTTTTTTAAGAGAGATTTTTCCTATAGAATGCATGTGCTTGCTAAAGAAACAGACAGAGACAGAGAGACAGAAAATGAGAAGTCACCCCACAGCGGGGATGGCCATGCTACAATCCCTTCTTCTCCTGGGATTTTTTAGGCATGTACCCATACACAGCAGCGTCAGTTTGACGCTGCCAGGTTCAGGACTTGAACTGCAGTCATCCATGTGGGAGTCTTAGCGACATAATCATTATGCCATCTGTTGGTCCCTTCCAGTGTCTTTGCAGTGAAAATAGCTTATATTAAACTGTAGGTTATTTCTTTGAAATGGCAATTTTTTGACAGAGTTCCGGAATAAAGGTATAAACTTTTAGATCAAAAATTTACTCTGAAGACCAGCTTCGTAGCCTAATGGTTAAGGGAGTCTCATATGATCTACCAATTTGAATCTCAGACCTGGTGACTTGAAAGAGCACTGGGTATGTGTCCACATGTGCCCGAATTTTCAACAGAATGGCAAAAGAGAGGAGAGGGATTTTGGTATGATGAGACCCCATTGCAGAGTACTTTTTCTCTCTTTGTCTCTGCTGAGCACACACAGCAATGTAAAAAAAGGAAATTATGACCAGAGAAGTTCATCTGGTAGCACCTATATGCTGACAAAGGAGTGTGTCTGCACTCACAAATGTGGCTGCTAAACTTTACAGGTACAGTAGTCTAGTCATAAATTAATTTGATAAAATCCAAGTAACACATTATTTTTCCCTGATGGCTACAGATATAACCTCCTCCGTTGTATGTGATAAACATTGAATAATATATCTGTGCTTGGCTAGTTTGTTTCTTCCCCTTCTCTCCATTTTCTTTAGTGGAAAAATTAGAGCGTATTTTCAAAACAAAGATACATATATAGGTTATATTAATACTTAAAAGGGTATGTATCCTAGAGTGCATGTATCTGTTTATGATTGCAATTTCAGCTTTTAGTTTTTTACATCTAAGTTGCATATTATAGTAATGACATTCTTTGTATTAAAAATTTTCTTGAAGATTAATATTCTTTTTATACAAATCTTTTTTTCTCAATATTTCTAAATATTTCCAGGTAACACGAAGAAGGTACATAAAGAAGATAAACCTGTAAGTCTGAGTATGCCTGTAATCACCGAGGAGGAAGAGGAGAATGAAAGTTTTAGTGAAAAAGGTACAGATGAACTTTGTCAGGCAAGGGAGGTGAAGGGCACGCTTGGGGGTATCAGGGACAAGCCTGATGTTGGCTGGCGTTCTTGAGATTCTTTTATCCTTGGCTCAGAGAAGAATTTCAGTGTTAGCCATTCCATTAAGAGTAAAGATAACACAACAATCGAATGGCTATGGCTTCCCATGAAGTATCCCATCAGTTCCGTCTTTTTAGAAAGTTTCTCCCAGAGGCTGTCCTGCTTTTCTGTGGACAGCATCCCCTCTGTCTTTATCTTCCTTCTAGAATTCATTTTCTTTTTCTAATTTTTTAAATTCTCCTTTCCCAGCCCTCTACTTTTGCTTTTACAGTGCTGGAGAATATTTCTTTTTTTGTCTCATCTTTCATAATTTTCATGTTTTTCTGTCTTTTATTATTTTCTTTGCTTTTAATGATCTTTAGGTTCACAGCTGTTTCTAGATGGACAGGTTCGAATGTTGGTTGTAGCATCTGCTGTCGCCAGAAAGATGTATGGCAAAGGATTTTGGGTTACATTTTCAAATTTCATTGAAATTAAGTCGAAATCTTAGTTTATCTTTCTTAGCAGTGGCCTAGATACCCTTCGCATCTGGCACACTGGGTCCATCATAATTACAGGGAGGCCATACCCATGTGAAACAATTTCTGATTAACGTTAGTTAGGAATAAGATTTAAAATAATTAAGACCCACTATCTCTGAGATACATTTCAGTAGATTCAGTATAATATCTACATCTCAATAGATTCCTATCCCAATAAAATTAATATATTACTATCTTGCTAGAATTTCTAAGGTCTAAATTGCAGTATCATTTTAAAGAAGAAAATTGTTTATTTTCCGGTGTAAGATTTCTTTTTGGATCTTTGCTGTAAGGGATTTCTTGTTGTGTTATGCCAGTTAAACAGCTATATAGTTCAAATACATATTATCAGTTACATATTATCATTTATGTCAGTTATTTATTTTTAGACCGTACAAACTTCTTAACTTTATGTCTTCAGATTTCCCTGCATCCAAGAGGAAAAGAAAACGCTGAACGACGAGCCTACTGTAAAGTGTTAAAATTTGAAATGATGGAAGACAGTTTATTTTATGTATTGAACAGGAAGACTGCCAGTATTAAACTAATTCTGTGTAACTACAGGTTATTTCTTTGAAATGGAATACTTTCACACAGTTCTGGAATAAATGCACAAAAATTTAGATCAAGAATTTACTCTCAAGGCCAGCCTTGTAGCCTAGTGACAGGTTAAGGAGTGGATCACACATGGGCTGCCAGTTTGAATCTTGGATCTGGTATCCTGAGAGCACTGGGTGTGTGTGTACACATGCCCAGAATTTGGACAGGATGGTGAGAAGAGGATGTCCTGTCGGAGAGCACTTTCTCTATTTCTGTTTGTCTCTATGGTGAGCACACATAGCAATTTTAAAAGAAGTTTTTGGGTTTTGTTTTGTTTTCTTTTGTTTTTTAATTTGCTAGCTAGAGGCCTATATCCTCACCACAGAGGAAAAATGAAAAAGCATTCTTCCAGGGGGTATGGCCATGCAGCAGTCCCCTTTCTTTCGTTCTCCTCTTGAGATTGTGGGCTGGCATGCACACACATATGCCTGATGTGTTTTCAAGCTTCTGTTTCTGGAACTTGAACCTCATAGTCAGCCATGTGTGATCTAGTCTCTTTAACCATCATGCCAATGGGTGGCCCAAGAAAAAAGGATTACTCTGAAATTTGATTCCAGCATATTCTTTCATGAAATCTACATAAATGGAGGTAAAATATATTTGAAATGTAAAAGAGGTAATCCTTAGTAATTATTTGCAGCTTATTACTATTTCTTATAACTTTCTGCAATATATTGTCTTTATAGTTCTGGCAGTATTGAGCTTGTCAGAAATTTCGTGATGTATTTTTCTGTTTTTTCTATGCAAAAATGTGGCATGTCTTTTGTGATGACCCAGTACTATTGTATTTAAATTTTTTTTTGAAACATTAATGTTTACTACTGTAAAAGGCTATTTTGTATCTATAATTTGGAAATAGATTTGTTTATATATATATATATATTTATATGATGTTTATTTACTATTTAGTATATTAAATGAAGTATTTAATATACAATATACAATATTTGCTTTATTTTTTTAATATGTGAAGCTTACATGGCCAGTGACTTATGTGATCAATCATTTAGGAAGCTTAAAACTCATTTTCCACTTCTGCTTAAATTCTCCGAATTAAGTATTTATTTAGAGCTTATTTTAAAGCTGCCTTTTGTTTCATGTTTGTATATATACATATGTATGTTTGTGTATGTAGACATATGTATAAATGCATCTATATATAAATATGAGACCAGTCAATAAATTTAAGTACAATACTCAAATACTAGTCATTTCTAATACAGCCTTTATAAGTAGTAATGTAAATTTTACAATGTGTCTCTGGTATAGAATGGTTCTTATGAACAAAAAAACATTCTGTGGTTTCATGACAACTTCTCTGTTAATTTCTCATTCTAGACATTTAAATGGAAATTACTGTGACTATATTGTTTGAATTGCTCTCAGCAGCAAACCATATTCATGCCTTGTGGTTTGCTTAATCTACCCAATACAATAAGTTGATTATCCTTCATGTTGATTTCTAGCATTGTATTGGGTTGTCAGGAAGGTCGTGATGCATTTTTGCATAGAAAAATATGTCACAACTTCACTGATGAACTAATATTACTGAGAAATTAAAATCAGAGTTGGAGATTTGTCCAAATCTAAGATGTCCTATAGTGAAAATGGATAATCTCTCTGAATATATATCATTTTAAAAATCAAAATGTAATGCTGATTCAATAAAACTTTAATGTATTAGAATTCATGCTATCACATTAGCTGCTGAAGTGACTGTTTTCCTTGACTGCCTTCAGGTATTTGTGGTAATAAAGGGTGCTGTTTTCATATATGGACATTAGGCAGGGCTTCTGGGATTTAAACATCCTAGAATGGGGTTAGTCTGAGGTGTACATTTATCACTGGCAACTCATTCACCAGGTTATTTGCCAAAACTTGTCTGGTCATTAAAGCTTTATAAATATTATTTGCTAATACAGTTAGTTTCTTTCTATTTTTCTACAACTATACTCATATAAAATACATTGTATCATCTCACTTTTACACTGAAGAAACTACCTCAGGATGGTAAGTACCTTGCTTACACTCCCAAAGTTAATTCAGTGACACATCTGGGATGTAAACATAGGGTTCAGGCCTATACTAATTTCAGTTCCTTTTTTTTTTTTTTCCCCCCGATTAGTTTTTGCTATAGAGCACACGTCCTTGCCAGAGAGAGAGGTGGAAAATGAGAAATCACCTCCTGGTAGGAAATGTCCATGCCACAGTCCCTTTTCCTCCAATCTTGTGATTTGGGACATTCATATACACACACCTTGATTTTTAAGCTGCTGAGTCCAGGAATCAAACTGCACAACCACCCATGTGGAATCCTGTGCCTTAACCTCTATGTCATTTGCTTGCTTGTAAATGAAAAGACTTCAAAAAGTACGTGCTTATTTGGGTGGGAAATTTTGAAATCCATGCGTAGCTTTTTTTAAAGAATTAGTTTTATTCTATTTATTTATTTTAATTTGATCAGAGAGGGACAGAACAAGAGAGAGAGAGGAAGAGCAAAAAAGAGGGAAAGGGAGAAAGCAAGCCACCAGGTTCGGGACTTGAAACCGCAGTCAGCCATGTAGGAGTCCAGCATCCTTAAGCACCACGCCACTTGCCAGCCCCTGCATAACTTTTTCATAATACACATTTTCCATAAACTTTTTCTGAAGACCTTGTATAATCTAAGAGAAATGGAAATCTAGACGGATTCTATTCGCTGTAGGCAATTACACCACACTTCAAAATGGCTTAAACAATATGGATATTTTTAATTCTTAAAAGTTTATTTTAATTGTTGATACAGAGCATACATGTGTACGCATGAGAGAGAGAAGAGAAGCACCCTAGACGGCTTCTCACACGGATTTCCTCTCCGTGGCCTCTGACTCATCGGGATCCTGGTGTATGCACAGACTCTGCAATGGTTCAATCCTGTGGGGATCTGGGCCTGGAGCTGGCCCTGTGACTTCGAGTACTGCAGTTCAGGTTGCTGACTGTGCCACCAGGCTGGGCCGGGCAAGTGTACTTTAAAACCATTTGAGTCCCAATTCAGGGTGGCTCTGTCTTACACAGTACATCAGTTCTATGGTAGCTTCATATACTCAAGGTGGGGTTTTTAGGGGAAGCTTTGCATCATTGTTGAGAACTTAATCAGCCAAGTTCTCAGGTGCTGGTCAAGGGCAAGCCTTATAAGCAGTCCTTTCTGAAGATACAGTCTGAGGCCTGCTGGCACTCTTCTGCGCAGGTTCATTTCTTTTGTCACTATTTCAACAATGTTGCATTGACCTTTGTTTCTAAATCTTGGTTCACTTGTGCTGGTATTTCTGTTAAATAAATCTGCAATCATTTCCTTGGTCAAACTATAAAATTTTGTTGATTATAGCAAAATTGAGTTCTGAAAAGACTGCTAATTTGCATTCATGTTCACAGTATTTGTGAGTGACTACACCCCTATCAGTCTTTATCAACTGAATGTAGCTTGAATCTTATACATTGATTAAAAACAAATAAATTGTAGTAAGCAGATACAAGTTATATGGTAGAGTGTAGGCCCTAAGTTACGAGTTTTTCTTCAATATATTTTCAATATAGGGTCTGAATCATTTCATTTGCTTTAAATATGAAATAAAAGCTTTTTTTTTTTTCTTTTTGGAGAGGTTTTCACTATAGGGCGTGTGCACTTGCCAGATAGACAGAGAGACAGAAAGTGAGAAATCGCCCCCTGGGGGGATGGTCACGCCGCAATCCCTTCTCCATTCTCTTCTCGGGATCTTGGGCACACATGCACACGCGCCCGGCGTGAGTTTTAAGCCACCAGGTCCGGGACGCGAACCGCAGTCGACTACGTGGGAGTCCAGCGACATAGCCATTACACCAACTGCTGGTTCCCAATAAAAGCTTTTTCAGCAGTGTTCAAGTAGAACATGTTTGTCAGTGGATTTTTCAGGATTAAATTATGATGTCCAAGTACTAATTACCTATTAGCTGTTTATTGCCAACTTGATGATGATAACATAACTGCACCGGGTAATAAAAACTTGCTTTCAATATTAAGTATTTACTAAATTAGTGTTTTGTGGGGGAAAGAGGGTTGTGGCAGTGTATATAAACATAAGCTGTATTTTTTTTTGGAGAGGGTTTTGCTATAGGGCGTGTTCACTTGCCAGAAAGAGACAAAGAGGCAGAAAGCGAGAAATCACCCCCCCCCGGAGGGGGATGGCCATGCTGCAATCCCTTCTCCATTCTCCTCTCGGGATCTTGGACACGCACGCACACGCACTCGGTGTGAGTTTAAGCCACCGGGTCTGGGACTCGAATTCTGGTCAACTACATGCGAGTCCAGCAACATAGCCATTACGCCAAATGCTGGTCCCTATAACTTTTGATTCTTCACCTTGCATAATACTTTCATATATTGGGATTTCTGAAAATAGTATGGTATTAAAACACAGCTGGGACTAGCAGTTGGCATAATGGCTATGTCGCTGGACTCCCATGTAGTCGCCCGCTGTTAGAGTCCCTGATCCAGTAGCTTAAACTCACACCGGGTGCATGTGCGTGCATGCCCAAGATCCCAAGAGGAGAATGGAGGAGAAAGGATTGCGGCATGGACATACCCCCAGGGGGGTGATTTCTTGCTTTCTGCCTCTCTGTCTCTCTCTTTCTGGTGAGTACATGCACCCTATAGCAAAAAACTCAAAAAAAAAAAAAAAAGAATCGGAATTTTAGTGTTAAATACCAAGTTTTTAATGTTGCATACTGAGTTTTCTTGGACTGTCTGAAAAAATGAACAACAAAACGAGTGATTGTAAAATATAGCTCAGGGGAACTTTTTTTTTTTTTTGGCTTGGAAAACATTTAATTTCTTCAGAAGAAAACCGCCCTGGGTGTGTGCAGTTCTCCGTAGAGGAATCAGTGTGCTGAATTTGTTTTCTTTTGCAGTACCGTTACAGGTCTACATTGTTGGAAGCACACCTAACATCCCACTGGGGTTTATAACCCTAGTCTCTTAGTGCTGTGATTGGATATCTTGAAGGAGAGTGAGTTTCCCAATTGCTTGAGATCCTCTTGAAGGCTTATTCCCTAAGATGGACACGGTTGTATCACTGCCAGCCCAGGGAAAGATTTCTGTACCAGCTTTTGGGCAAAGGCTTTGTCTTACACACAGGATTTCCAGGACAGTATATAAGAAATAAATACATTTAAAATTTTATCTAGGACCAGCCTTTGGAGTGGATCTCACATGGCTGACCATGTAAAATCCCAGACCAGCAGTTTGAAAACTACCAGGTGCAGATGTGGGTGTGCCCCAATTGTGAAAGGAGAGGGAAATGGAGAAAGCATTGTGGCATGGCCATGCTCCATAGGCGGTCCTTTCTCTCTCTGTCTGTCTCTTTTGTCTCTGTGTCCCTGGGAAGTGCATGTGTCCCCTGGCAAACAAACTTTTATCTAAATGATGCAGAACAATTTTACTGGGTTGAGCAAAACTGTTCAGAATAGTATAATGCTTTGAACACACCAAAGTTTGAATGCTATACTTCATTGAGTCATCGGGAAAGTGATAATGCATGTTTGCCTAGAGAAACACACCCTGACTTTCCCAACGACCTAATAGTTAAAACCAAAAATGTAAGCTTTTTAGAAGTATAATACTTGGGTGCCCAGGAAGCCACAGTTGTTTGTTAGTGCCTAATACAGTGACTTTTGAGGTCATTTTCTTAAGTCATAATAACCGAAAACTTACGTGTTTACACAGATCCTCAAATTGACATGGGACCAAGGTCTCTTGACTCAATCGACAACTTAGAGAGACCCCAGTTTCCCTTGTGAAGTTGAATTAGGTGTAATTTATATCTTCTTCCCAATACCAATTTTGGCAGTGTCCAAAAGACTCACATGTACATGGAGATACAAAATGTATTTAATTGAGGTGTCATTGAGGATGAGCTTTATGGGCTTAAAATTACCTTCATTTTGATGTAAAAGAGCCTAGGAAAATAAGCAGTTACCAAAGCCTTCCTGACTACCTGCAACTCTTGAATTAAAGAACAGTTGGAAGAATGCTTGCTTTTTAAGTGGCAGAGAACTCTGTGGGTGCTTAGCTATTCACATTTTCCTTTATCTTCTCAACAACTATGTAGTAATTTTCATTGTACATTTTCTTATTCCTTGTATTAAAGTAAATGTGAAAGCCTAGACTTCAGGTTGTATAATCCCTTTTCATGTGTGAATTATTTGTGACATGTCGTAGGTCTGTGTTTTTATAAAAGATAGTGGACAAGTCTTTTTAGATTGCCTGGAACAAAAGCACACTTGCATCATCTTAAATGCCAGAAACTTCTTGTAAGAATATAAAGGTGAATAAAGCGCAGTAACTCAACAGAGGCATAGCTTCTTGGAGAGCAAGGAAAATACCTTTATCATGTAGTGAACACCAGCAGCCTGGATGACTGGGTCGTGTCCTCACTTTCGAGGTGGATTTTCATTGCTGTATAGTTGATATGACGCCTCTTATTCGCCCCTCGGCATCTTCTCTGCCCACTCCCCCTCTGCCATTTCTGCTGTTCCCTACTATCCCTGAAAGAGGATCTGATCTATTAGTTACAACCTTAAATAGAGCCTCCTGAGTGAGCAGAAGTTGTTCAGCTGGGCCATTCTGACTACTGGCTTCCATTATGTCTAGCCAAAAGGCTAGCTGCCCTTAACTAGGGCATAGATCTCTGGTAGAGTCAATTGTAGCCAGTGTAGCAGTGTCACACGCCACAGCGTACAGCAGATTATGTGGAAGGACCCATCTCTGGCAGCTTTCATCAGACAAAGTGATCAAGACCGTCTTTCAGAATCCATGGATTTCTCAGTCCAGTCAAGTTTGGAAATGTGCTGTAGCTTTAATCTCTCCCATCACACACACAAATTCATGTACTGAGATTCGGTTCTATGTGACAGGATTGAGAAGGTGG